CCTTCCTTTCTTTCTTTCTCCCCTTCTTCCTTTTTTTCTTTTTTTTTAAATTTTATATTTTAATGCTTTTAAGTGGATGTGCCCTCCTAAGATGACAACAGGCTGCATTTTCCAGTTTTGCCTGGCCACACTTCTTGCTCCATGTATATATTTCTATGACCTGCTTTAACTCTAAATGCATTCCAGCTCCTCAAAAATTTTAAGTTCTTCAAATAAAATTATTTTGTAGAAAATGAAAAGTCAGTAACATTCATTCCTTAGGCATGCCTTTATATGTTTAGTATTGCTGTCATATAGGTTGTTTTTAATGCCTAACTGCTTAAAATTGTCTTGGGAGGGAGGCACACATGCCTTAATACGTTTAGAAAACTTGAAATATTTTAAGAGATCTATTTACTAAAATGGCTTTAAAATAGCATGTACTTTAAAAAATTCAGTGAAAATGACAGCAGGTAGAAATTGAAAGAAGACCCATTGAAGGAAGAGACCATTGTGTGGTCTCTACCACCATTTTGAAGGCTTATTTTAGATCTAAATAAACAATGCTTTAAACCTCAAAGGTGGCTAGGGTTATCCTTTTCATCTTAGTTCTTCTATCCTTCAAATTGTTCTTCCCATTAGAAGAAATGAAACAAAATTAGGGCCATAGGGCTTCTGTTGCTGTTAGAGTTTTAATTCAGGAGTTGACTATACTTTTCAATCACAGATACCTTCTTGCTTTAATGACAAACAGCCTCTTTCCCCCTAGCTTTTCCGCCAACAGACAACTGTGAGAGGAATGAGACCAACAGCTATTATAGCCCTAGAGAACTGACAAAGCCTTTTCAAACTTGAGACAGAAACTGAAGGCTCGGTGCATTTCAATAGAAGATGGCTTGCCCAGGCCCTAATAAACAATTTCACCTGCCGGTAAAAACACGCAGTTCCCTTTAATTTGTTACAGCTAATGGAATTGTCATCTAACATGAACTTCTAATGAGACGTGTGCAAGCCAGATTTTTTCTTAAAGTATATTTTTCCACTTTTGATCGCTTAATAAATATATATTAAGTTCAAGATATTTCACTAAGATCATGTAAACTAAAAATATATGCAGTATAATGCCCTTTTAAAATTTTTCTACATGATGCCTTATGCTCTATTTAAACCATGTCATGACTCTAAATTGAAAATTCATTAAGGTTTTCCAACTGCTCAAAGTTAACGTTTAGCAATTAGTTTGGCCTCATTCTCTACACATATTCTTTTTTTCTTTTTTAAAGATTTTTTTTTATTGGAGAATTGGGGGAAGGGGAACAGACAAGTTGCTATCATTTTGTTCTTCAGTCTAGTTGTGGAGGACTTTGCTTCACTAGCCCAAGTTGGCACCATCATTGCACTCTTCCCAGGTGAGGCAGATCAGTCATCAGCTTCTGGATGCTGCTCACAGCGGCTGCTGGCCACTCATGCTTGCTGCTGGCTACATACGGTAGCCCATGGCAACCCACCTGCCAGTTGCCAGCGACTCACGGCAGCCCAGCTCCAGGTCGAGCTGTTGTTCAGCATCTTAGCTGTGGAGGGCAATGTCACTGGCCCTTATATGTGGGATCCGAACCGGGGCCTTCTGGCGTCCCAAGCCAGCTCTTAACCAACGTGCCACTTGGCTGACTCGCATTCTCCACACATATTATCAATTCTTACATAGTATTAAATTCATTGATGTATGTTTTCAGATATTAAAACCAGTACCTTGTTCTGCAACTCCAGGTTTATCATTCTCCTGTCTCAAAAATAAGTTTTAATCATTTTTTGTCTATGCTATAGCTTGAAAGGTTATCTGGTAATGTTGAATTGCATTTACTTGTATTAAACTTATTTAAAAATAGGTATCAGGCTTTAAAAAAGTATTGATGTTTTCTGTGCAGAAAATTTGCCTAATAATTCTATTGAGTTTTGTTCTATTGCATAAGGTGATGTTGCAAAGTCTGATTTGTTCACAATCACTCAGGATCACCATTCAGGAGGGACCTTATTTTTTTTTTCCTTGGGAGCATAAAAGCAACCTTATTAGAAAGCAGGTTAAAAGATTGGTACATTTAAAATGATCTTAAAAAATTTAGGCTTAAGTCCTCAGTAATGTACATTTCCTAGTTCATTAATGCAGAAATACCTCACATAGATTTTAATCTTGGAGTTAATAATAAAAGCAATTTTCACTAAAAATATAAAAACTGTAATGGTAGAATCATGATATTGCATTTAGCTCTCCCACAAAAAGTCACTTTATTACTTTCTTTTGACACTTATTTTCATTCTGGGATTAATTTTACTATATAAGGGCTTCTTAACTATTCTATTAAAATTTCTATTCAGAAGCAATAATATCTAAGAGTGAATAATAGTCATGTAAATCATTATTTCATATTAATGTAAAAGATTTTGTAAGTTCTTATGAATTCTGCTGACATGCACAATTGTGAAAAGGTTATCTCTCCATTCTACAGTGATATGCGCTGGAACAAAGGAACAATTCTAAAAGCATCAGTGGAGTACATCAAGTGGCTACAAAAAGAACAACAGAGAGCCCGAGAATTAGAACACAGACAGAAGAAATTAGAGCAGGCTAACAGGCGACTTCTACTCCGAATTCAGGTTTTTATACAAATATTGCCACGAACCACAGTGTTTAAATACGACTAACTCATCAACAGTTTTAGTCATTGGTCTCATTTATTTTTTTTCTTATTAACAGTTATTTTACTTTCTGAAGGATAATTTTATTGCATTTTAGAAGTTCATGAATTGGGTTGCTTCAATTAGGTTTTGATTAGGAATGCAGGATAAACATGATTTTAAAAATAAATAATGAATGACAACACTAACTGCAAAATGCAGAAAATAGAACCAATTTTATAAACACAAGCAGTATTATTTCAGCCAAAAAATAATAATAAAGTAGAGCATTTGTTTCTCTAGACAATATCGGATACTACATTCTCCCTTCCCCCTTTTATCTCTTTAGTAACGTTGCTATGGATTTTATCGCCTCAAGGTATATTGTGATGGTTTATATTAAGTCACTCCTCGTCTGTTCATGTGACACAAAATATCAAAATATGGGTTTTCATAACTCTCAAATTTTTTTTATGTAAGCATACTTATTGCCAGGTAAAGTACCTACTTTGTTTTCATGAAATGGCCCTACAGTGAGAAATTAATCTGGAAGAATAAATGGAAGATTTTCCATTATCTCCAGATGTCTGTATTGTAGTCTGAATCACTATGGGACCATTATATCTTGTGCATTCCTTTAAAGAACAATGGTAGGAGAAATTTTTTTAAAATCTGCATAGTTTTCTAAGGGTTATTTTTTAGGCAATAGAAATATACCATATTCTATTATTTGCAAGAATATTTATAATTCTTATTAATCTTCATTTTGAATACATTTTAATACCTTGGTTCTATTTCTGATTTACTTTCTAGAGTTAAATTCACTTTCCAAGTCATTATTTGATTATTCTTGTTTGAAATTGCAGGAACTAGAAATACAGGCTCGTGCTCATGGTCTGCCAACCCTGGCTTCACGTGGCATGGTTGATTTAGGTGCTCATGTCACTAAACTGCAGACCCATCTTGAGCAAAATCCAGTGGACTATTGCCAGCAAGTGACTCTGTCTCAGGGAACAAGCCCTGAGCTCTGTGATCAAGCGATGGCTTTCTCTGATCCTTTGTCACACTTCACAGATTTATCATTCAGTGCTGCTTTGAAAGAAGAACAAAGATTGGATGACATGCTACTGGACGACACAATATCTCCTTTTGGAACAGATCCTCTGCTATCGGCCACGTCCCCTGCAGTTTCCAAAGAGAGCAGTAGAAGAAGTAGTTTTAACTCAGATGATGGTGATGAGTTATAAAAAGTAAACACACTCAACTCATTGACTAGGAACCAATTCTATGCTGGTGCTATGCAATTATATTGTGTGTTTCATGTATTGATTTGGCTTCATTTTTCTGAAAAGAATATCTTGTTCATGAGAAACCCATTGGTTAAAACTACAGAAGAATGAATTCACAGGAAGAAATATGGCGTTGAAGAATTATTGAGGGCTAAAAAGATTTTTTTCTCTTTGTCTACAGAATCCAGATCTACTTAAATTTTGTTTTCCTAGAAAGAGGTACAACTTAAGAAATGGCTCTCCACTTGATGATGTACTATTGGAACTGACACATGGCAAAGAGTAAACCTACAAATGTTTTCTTAGTTTTTCACTTCCATCTCCTTCCTATTCAGCTCATAAAACATTACTTTTCCAGAATCAATATCAATAGATCCAGTGGTTCATTTCTCCACTGCCTGGTGACCATGTTGTCTAAAGTTTAATTTTATATGGAAAAGATACATTATCTGTCACTTGTAATTGAAAAGTGAACCTATGGTAAACATTAAAAATTTCCACAATAAAATACAGAAAATTTATTAAAAATCTTGCTTTCTAAAATTAGACCCTGATTTCTTTAGTCAATTTAATTATACAAATTCTAAAAACATCATTATATATTTATGGAGCCATGCTCTGTTCAGAAAAAGCGGAACACAGTGAATATTTTCCTCAAGAATATGGACTGGAATTTTATCCCTTCACACAAACATACCCGCCCCCCCAACACACACACACACACACGCACACAATGCAGGTAGAATGTGCTTTTTTCCCCTTCACTCTTCTGATTTTCTTGTCTGCATCAGAAATCATATTCTGAATTCTCTTCATCAAAATGTGATGTTAGATGATGAAGTCCAGCGAATTAACTACAAACTGTTCTGCTACTAGGACAATTGGTCAGGTATTTAAAACTGTGTCCAATATTGATTTCAATTAATTAGTTGTTGATATAGTTTTGCTCCAACTTAAGAAAATATTGAAAATTGGACTGCCACCTGACAAAACAATTCGTAAAACAGAACTTTTATTACATTCAACTCTGAGTTAAAGTTCTATTCCCGTAAGTACTTAGAGTGCACTATGATTTTTTGCTAGCTTTGTTAGCATTTATTAAAAATATTTATATTTATGGTACTTTACTCGAATTTCCTCTCTTGAGCTTGTTTTAGGATTGGTAGTTGACTTACCAAGTCTGTTGCTCTCTGCTGGCCCTCCATGAGTGGTCTTTTCATCAATGAGTATTTATGGAGCGATACTCAAAGCTGCCGTAGATCCTGTGAAAATGTCAAACGAATAAGCCAGATATTGCTTTACTCCTTGAGGAGTTAACAAGACTACATGAAAAACAAAACAAAAAATAGAATCCATATAGAATGAAAGTCTACATGGGACAACATAAGGTATAAATACAGAAGGTCAGGGAAAATGAAAATGAATGACATTTGGAGAATCATCAAAGTCTAGAGAAAGAGCAGACCTTAACTTCTTTTAAAATAAATTGGGTGAAGGGGATGGAAGATAGAGGAATAATGTCAACTAAATGATAAAAATGAGAATAAGTTGGGACATGTCTTAATGGGACATTCATTAGAAATAGAACATTTATCTGGCAGTGCTAGAAGAGGCCTGCTGGGGAGTTCTGGAAAATAATATTGGCAGCAGGCTGTGAAAGCCTTTGAAAACTAAGATGAAATGACATAGTAGAAATGGAATTTCTTATTAGGAAGGAGAAGCCTAAAAATTAAAATGCTTCTGTATATTTACTAACCTTATTGAGATGTAATTTTTAATGAATATTAACTTAGTGATAGATTTTTCCAAGTGTTTTAAGTATTATTCATATGGAAAATACATCATCACAAAATATGAGACTAATGCTGATGAAAGTGGGAAAATATTCAATTCTTATGGTATAATAATTACCTCAGGCTTAGCTTATATCATGAGCTTGGAGTTTGTAGAATTAAAATAATTTTCATTGTTTGGCATGAAAAAAATAATTCTTAATTTATAGGAGTAGTCATTAAATCCAGATAAATAAATTCACTTGTAATATGCCGTGTGTAAATGAGCAATAAGATACACTTCCTCAAGAATTTTCGGGAGAGCATTATATACGTTTAACTTTCTTAAAAAAATTCCACTTTACTATTTGAGTTGATAATTTAATTGAACATTACAAATTGTAGAGCAGGAATATACTTTTGGATCCATGGAAACCACGTCATTCTAGATAGGGACTAATTTCTGTTCTCATATTATCCATTCTCCTTTCTTCATATTCTGAGAGGACTTGCACTGATGATGTCATTACCCCATCATCATTTTCCATTCTGTTAAAATATTACCACCCAAGTCTGAACCCCATGCCTTATACTCTTAGCAAATTGTAAAAACTTGACATAGGATGGTAGAGTCTGGACAAAAGAGACCTAGAAAGGGAACTAATATTTGTTGTTAGTCTCATAATAGCTATCAGCGGACTGTAAAATGAGTCATAGATCTTTGAAGAATAAAGAGTGGTGCTGTGTCACAAAAGTTATAGACCCTCTCCCCAGAAAAATACTGAACTGTATATACAGTCAAAAACTTGTATGCACCAAGAGGTTTCAGGGACCTCCTGAATATCTCCTTGGATCCCAGGTGAAGTACTCCTTCATCAGGTCTGTTACTTTAATACATAGAATTGTAGCGATGTATCTATCAAGAGCTAAGTGCATAGTTGATGTTACATACAATGATGGAGGAGGGAGCCGTAGTTATCTCAATGTCATTATCCTAACACCAGGAGTGATGAGGTTGCGTAGGAAAATGAAAGTGTACCAAACACTGGAGTCTTCACTGAAGAAGTTGTTCACTTATAAAATAGTCCCTTTCAACACCCACCCCCTCGCCACACACACACACAAAATTTAATACACTTTTTTCCTTTTTTAAAATGTATATATATTTTTTGCACCCTCTGTATATATATGACATAATATGTGTGTGTGTGTGTGTGTGTGTGTATACATTATGTACATGTATATATATAATCTTCTGGCTATATATTAATGTCATATATTTGTGGATCAATTTCTCCATGACTATTGAATGTTGTAAACATCTGACAATAACATTTTTAAGTGATGTTTCATCCAATATTTTTTCTCTATTTATACTAACATATTGGCTACTTTTTCATGGATTTGCATTAAGCAACCTTACCAACTCCCAATTATCTGAAAATAACAAGGGCCTCCTATGAGTAGATGCAGATCTCATAATTTTTTCTTTGTATTCTTTCTTCTCAAACTTTTCCCATAATTGAAGAATATATAAACAGACCATAATTCTTCAGTTTACAGATTTGATATCAATGCCTATAGCTTTCTTTATGTGGGTAACAAGCTCTACATAATAAATAGCCAGTTGAGCTGAGGACATTAAGAAATAGACTTCCTCTTTATTTCTTAGCTCATTTTTTCCCACTCACATGACTGTAAATAAAATATTTAATAGCTCTTACTTTTATTTTATTTTATTTTATTTTTTTAGCTGAGCCATCCTGCCTCCTGTTGGCAGCTCAGCAGCAGCTCAGCTTGGGCTGGGAATTGAACCAGCGACCCTGTTTCTCAGAGCTCACACTCTTGAGTGAGCTCTTAACCAACTGAGCCACTTGGCCGGCCCTTAATAGCTCTTTCTTTTAAAAAATTATACACAATGAGTTTCTTGATTTGATATGCTCACCTTTATGTCAGTGGAGAAGTTAGATTTCACAGCACAAAAAAGAATACATTTTTCCTCTGTTTTGATAGCTTGATATTGGTATTTTCTTGTACCTCAAGGTATTATGAAAATACTTCTTGCAGTTCTGATATTATGAAATTTTGATATTCAAATAAATAAATGACTGTTTCAATGTTTTTACAGTATCTCTAGGCTGATATTGACCATATGGTATCTAAGATGTAGATGAAAACTGGAATCAACTAACCATTTTGCTGTGTTATCAGCACCAGGTCAACCACCTGAATTTCTTGAAAACACCTGAAGGGTTGAATTTTGCTTTGGTATTGATAATGGCACAGATTGGGTGCTCTGTGGAATTACATCATTTGCCACCAACTCCCCCTCCCCCCGCCCCGTGCCCTGCATGTTGATAAGTATAAGATGTCAACTTGAGTTAGTGTAAGTTATACATACAGAAATTTCATTATATTTACTTAATAAATACTAAACACATTTAGAGAGTTGCTGATATAATGTTATCGTATGAACTTCCTGTAAACACCACTCATTGCATAATGAATAGTTTATCATTTGTATGATTTTTAATTTGTAAACAAAGAAATTATTCAAAAATGATAAAAATAGTTTTAGAAGTTTTTTCTGTTCTACATTTTTATGTGAGGTTCATAGAGAATTTGGTTGTGTAAGAAATTATTAGAAAATAGTTATTTTGATTTTAAAAAACTCCCACTGAATGAATTCAACCAACTTAATGATGAAATACTACTATCTGCTGTTTTATACATAAAAGGGAATGTTTTATCTTCTTGTAAACGGATTTGTGTATGTATTTCTACATACCCAAATGATTTCTATTGTGCTTTCTTTTGATGAAATCCTCAGTAAAATGTATTTTTCTACATTTATCCAGTATCATAAAAAATAAAGAACAAAGACTTTTATGTTTGCAAAGCTAACGCTCTCATTACTGCACTACCATTTTATTTTAAAAATTCTGTATTTTCAACTTTTCTTTTCCACATAAATAAATTTTATTTGTGTGTATTTAAAGCTGGTGGTTATATATAATAAACAAGATAGGAAATATGCAAAGAAAAGGGGAGACTGTTACTTTGCTAAATGAATTATGTATAATCAGGAAGTTACATATTATCCATTAATACATGACTACTAAAGTTTAAAAGCAAAGTAAATTCAGGATCTTACTTAATAGCATTGCAATTGCTTATGGCACACAAGGCTAAACTTAATCCAACTATTTAATCTTAATAATAACAATGTAGTTTAAAATCTTTGACTTTAATAGCATTATATATATGTATGAATAGCTGAAATCATATTCCTATAATTTTAATCTAACATTGGTTAAATCAAGAAAACATTGTTAGTGTAATAAGACTGTAGAATTTGTAATTATTGCTATTTTTCATTTTTAATAACAAAGTATTGTCTTATTTTCTAATATATACATGAACCTTTGTACGCATACTTTTTAAAATGTACCACTATTTTCTTTGCTTATGTTAAATGTAGAATTATTGACCGTTTTCATATACCTTTTGTTATGCCTTGGTATATAGACTGTACTTGAAAATGCAGAGTGGGGGCTAGTCATCTGAAAAGATAGTTAACCGCCGCGATGCTTCACAACTGACAACTGCTCACCACATAACCCATGCTGAAAACGATGATCCACTATTTCCCTATTAATGAAAATAACTGTTACATTCTTTAATATAGCCTCCTGCCATCTGCTTCTCCATGCTGTTATGGTTTTGATTTATGGAAAATATTTATCAAAATGTTGCAAAATTGCTAACAGGCATAATTGTAGCAGTGAAGTCACTAAGAAACTCTGCAAATCTTTTAATATACTAGATGGTCCCCAGACAATCTAGAATAAATAGAATACTGTATTTTAATATGTAAAACATTTTAAAGCTGCTAATTGGTATTGACTAGACATATCCCTTGATAATGAAATTAATAAGAATTTCAGTTAAATGTTAAGACTTTCTAATATTTAATACCATGTTTATGAATTTTTTCTACAGACTTCCTTCAAAATTAATAAAAACAGGACAGCTCTGAGTTGACTATAAAAGATGGTATTGCTTTTTAAAAAATTTATAACAATTTTCTTAAAGCATTATAGGTGCCAAAAATACTAATCAATATAATAATTTCTGTGTGGAAAGGAATAACCAATCTAATACAGATAAAAATAAGTCACTATATTTTTTACACTATATAGACTGAAAAGATGGATGACTGAATGGATTTTATACTTGATTATTTATAGTATGTCTATGTGTATGCATGGTGTATTTGGGTATAGACACATGTCCCCATGTGGGAGCTTATAAAATCATTTTCTAATCTCTTGATATTAGAGAGGTCTCTAAATATAAGAATATGTTATTCTTTACTTGAACCTAGTGTCTAAGCAACATTTGAAGCTTTCATTAAATCTCTTCTCTTTGAAACACATACACACAAACACACCATACTCTGTTTAGTAAAAAATATGGAAAAGATAAATAAAACTGTCACAGGTTTTAATATTTTTGTTAAAATAAGTGATATATGCAGCTATAAGCCATTTAAATATAACACATGCATTGATTTTGTTGACCATCAGAAGGAATATTAAAAGCCACCTAAAAAGT